GCCCCTCCAGCATCAGCGTCCCTGCCACGACCTCACCGCCATGGCATACACTGCTGCCCATCACCAGGCCTTTCCAGGTGCATCACGGGTGATGCAGCTCCTTCACGTGACTCCACTTCCTAAACCTCCGCCACATGCCACACGGTCCCATTTTGCATAGTAGGAGCAATAGAATACAGGTGTTAAGAACTCTTTAGCTGTCGTTGGGTACTTTTGCATCAGTTCCGACTTCTAGTGACCCCATGAACAACAGAGCAAAACACTGCCCAGTCCTCAGCCATCACCACCTTGCTACGCTTGAGCACACTGCTGCTCTGTCAATTCACCTCGCTGGAGAGCTTCCTCTTTCTCACTGACCCTCCAAGCATGATGTCCTTCTCCAGGTCCCTCCTGATAACATGTCCAAAGGGAAAGATGAAATCTGGCCATCCTGGCTTTTAAGGAGTATTCTGGCTGTACTTCTTCCAACACAGATTTGTTTATTTTTCTGGCAGCCCATGGTACTTCAAGTGTTCTTCTTCAACACCATAAGTCAAATGCATGAATACATCTACAGTTTGCCTTATTCATTCTTACTTTCACATGCAAATGAAACTGACAAGCTGTCAAACTGGTATCTTTGCTCACGAACACTTTAAAGATGCCTTGTGCTGTAGATTCGCCTAATGCAACACATCATTTGATTTCTTGATTGCTCTCTCCATGAGTGTTGATAATGGATCCAACTAACACGAAGTCTTTGACAAGTTCAATCTTTTCTTCATTTATCATGAGATTTATTGCTCTAGAAGTCTTAGACATGAGTTCAAATCCCAGGTCTGTAATGAATAGCTGAAAGATCTATAAGTCTCAGTTTTCTCCTTTATAAAATGAGAGTGAAAGTGAACCTACCTCATTAAGATTGTTGTTGTTAGAGGACCCTAAGATTGTCAAGGGAGAAGAGCATGAGCGGAATGCGGGACCCTATCCAGAGAAGCAGCAAAACCAGAGATGGAGGCAGAGATAAGGACGTGGAGAGACAGAGTAGCTGAGGACTCGAGTCATAGAAAGAGAAAGGCTGTGTGCTGGCGGCCAGGAGGCAGGCTTGCAGAATGTGCCCTTTGGTTGTTTAAATGACTATATATTCATAAGTGTTTTTGCGTACATTAAAAAAAAAACCAGGGAATAGACTCAGATACTATTGAATGATGATGCATAGAGGGGATTGTAATCATTGCAATGAAATGTAATACAACAGGATGAGTGTGAAACCGATGTTCTCCTGTAAACGATCACTCAATTCACAATTAAAAACAACAACAACAACAAAATATTATTGTTGTTGCTAAATGCTGTGAAGTTGGTTCCGACCCATAGTGACCCTGTATAGGGTACCCTGTATAGGATTTCTGAGGAGTGGCTGGTACTTCACAACAGCAAAAGGGTATCCCCAACCTCAACATACCCACTCTACTGAGCTAAGTGTACAAGTGATGGGTTCTTCTAGAATCCACCATTTTAGACAGCTATAGGGGAGAGAGAGAGGGAGAAGTGGTTGTCTAACACATGTAACTTTGACCCTATTCAGAATCATGCAATGTTCATTTAGACAGCTATAGGGGAAGGGGGAGGAAGAGGAGGATGTCTAACATATGTAACTTTGATCCTATTCAAAATCATGTAACATTCATTTACCTCCCACGGGAGGGTCAGAGGATTTCTCCTGAGATTGCCAAGAAAAAGAAAAACTATAAACAACAGACTTAGCCCAGCTTTCCAATGGAGTGAGAAAGACCACATCAACTTTTTTCTAGGAGCAGAGCCCTTTAAAGACCCCACCAGTGCCAGAGGTGACTGGCAGCCAGCGATGGGGGAAGACTGCCACTTAATGGTAGTTTCTAGAACTGGATGGAAGGTATTGGCATTTCCTTGTATCTTTCACAAGCTCTTAACCTTGACACCGTGTCCATAAAAAAGCCCATTAACATTTAAAAGGGATGTCTCTGCTGTCCACTTGGAATAAGAGTTAGAAAACACTCCAAGATTATACACCACATCTGTCCCATATTTCCAACATAGTTTAGTTTCTTCCACAGGGAAAAAAACCAAAACAAAACAAAAAAGCATTACCAGATGTATGGATTAACAAAATGTGGTCCACATACACAAAGGAATACTACTTAGCCAGAGGGAGAAATTAAGTCCTGATGGGTGCCACAGCACAAACCTTGAAGACAACATGATGAAAACTGGCAGGGTGCAAGATCTATAAAAATCAGTCGGATTCCTTTATACCAACAAAGGGAACTCTAGAAAGGAAATCAGGAAAACGATACCATTTACAATAGCCACCTCAAACATGAAATACTTAGGAATAAATCTAACCAGAGACACAAAAGACCTATACAAAGAAAACTACAAAACAATACTATTAGACACCAAAAGAGACCTACCTAAATAGCAAAAAATACTTTACTCTTATAGAAAGACTTAACATTGTAAAAATGTCAATACTACCCAAAGCAATCTGCAGATACGAAGCAATCCCAATCCAGATCCCGCCATCATTCTTTAGAGATGGAAAAACTAATCAACTTTATTTGCAAAAAGACCCTGAATAAGCAAAGAACTAGTAAAGAAGGACAAAAAGGAGGCCTCATACTTCCTGATCTCAAAACCACACAATCACAGTAGTTAGAATAGCTCATACTATACAATGACACATACATAAATCAAAGGGACAGAACTGAGAACCCATCCACTTATGGACAGCTGATCCCTGACAAAGGACTAAAACTCATTAAACGGGAAGAGATAGTCTCTGTAACAAATGGTGCTGGTAAAACTGGGTATCTACTTGTAGAAAGACAAAACAGGACTCAAATCTCACAAAACCTACAAAAATGAACTCAAGATGGATCAAAGATCCAAATGTAAAACTAAAAACGATAATGAGGATCAGTGGAGATAAAAGGAGCAAACTTAGGGACCCTAGTACATGGCATAAATACACCATCAGACCTACCTGAGAACATACACATGGCAGAACCTAAACTAGATGACTGGGACCTGCTAGAACTCAGACACTACAGTGCATCCAAAGATTAAAGGAACTGAGACTGTTTGTACAACCTGAAGGATGCTGTCAATGCCACTGAATTGTACATGGAGGGTCTGCCAAGGTGGAGTATGTTGTAGTATGTATCTTTACAATGTCCCTGAATTGTACATGGAGGGTCTGCCAAGGTGGAGTATGTTGTAATATGTATCTTTACAATGTCCCTGAATTGTACATGTAAGGTCTGCCAAGGTGGAGTACATTGTAGTATGTATCTTTACACCATAGTTTTTTAAAAAGAAGGCAATCAGTGAAACGGCCTACACTGTAACAGTCGCTGGTTGGAAAACAACAGCACTTCAAGTGCCACCCCGAGCCCGGAAATCCTTCAAGCTGACTGTCCGCCCTGGTAGTGGTACCAACAAGGTCTTCTGCCTGATTTTCCACTCTCTCCCTTCTTTGCCCTTCAGACTCAACTCAAGCATCACATCTATGAAGCATCACCAAGTCCCCAGGCCTGATCAGATCCTTACTCTGTGCTCTATGACCCCTTGAGTTTTTTCTACAGCGACCCCTCAACTCACCACTCTCCTGTCTGCTCACAGTGGGGTCCTTCTACTCCGCAAAGGGTTGTGTGCACTCTGAAGGCCAGAGCCAGGTACCCAGATTCACCCATCCATATCTGAATGCCCAGTGCATGCCGACCACTGGGGATCCCAGGAGGAACCAAGCAGATGTGACCCCTGTACTCTAAACTGTCCACAGTATCATCTGTTCCGCCGAACTTCCCATCTCTTGTGTCTGCCATCTGTGGTCCTCGGTCAATGTTGAATGGATGGAGGTTTCCCCTGCTTCAACATATGTAACTTCATTATCTCCTAAGAGAACTAAGTTACTGCTTAAAATGCTGTGAATGCCTGTGGATCCCTTCTGCAAACTGGCATTCTTCAAGCCTCACCCGGCCTACATATGCATTGTGTTTTGCCAAAAGTATGTTCTTTTCTTTAAAAAAAAAAAAAAAAAAAAACTTTTATTTGTTGCTAACATCTAAAACGTGGACAATTTCATTCAGAACTTTCTGGAGTCTTTCAACAAATGGACGTACATTCCCACAGGGCAAGAGTGGGCTGGAGCTGAAGAACAGTGGCTCCCTTAGACGGGGTAAACCAAAGTCCCAACCCAGTGCTATATCAGTTGGTTCCAACTCACAGTAACCCCTAGGGCAGAGTAGAGCTGCCCCCTAGGGTTCCGATGCAGGAAATCCCGACAGAGCAGGCTGCCTCACCTTTCTGTTAGTGCCCCAGCACTCAGCCCACTGCGCCACCAGGGTGCCGTTTGATGAGGCAGACACTCTTCAGTTTGCCACAATCACACTAGCCCCTACTGTCCTATCAGTGAAGTCAAAGGGCCACGGCCATTTATCACTAAACTCAGGACTCCTGCCTGCCTGACAGGATTATGCCTTCGTCACAGGAGACATCTGAAATGAGCTAAAACATCAATACGTGGGCATTTTTATTGATTTTCCAAGTCATGGATACAGGTTTCTGCCGTCTTCAGCAGGGATTCCAAATGCAGAGGGAAAGGTAAATCCAAAAGGCTCATCCTTACGGAACCAAAACCATGTTTCCGGGGATTCTTCTTGCAAATGAATGTCGAAGATTAAGGATTACATTCTCACATCACCAACAGAGCTTAAAATACTTCTCTGACAAAAAAATAAAATAACAATAAATTATCTTCACCTCAGAAAATAAACTGCTCAGCAGAGTGAGAGGAAGGTCCAATCATTGTGTTGCCTCAGGGGCCACCTAGAGGGCGCACAGGCAGCTGCCAGGAGAAGGCGGGCATGAGGGGCAGACAGCTGGTGCCTGAAGCTACTCAAATGCCTCCAGCCTAAGGGCGGTGGTAGCCCCTTGCTGTGGCCTGTCCCCAGTGAGATTCCAACCGGCCCCTTGCCTCCTCACGTCCGCCTGGTCTTCTGTTTCTTGGTAGGTCTTTTTGCATCTTCTGGGCCATTGTTGTCAGAGGCTGTCTGGCCAAGAGCACGGACTCCCTGCAGTCGACTTGTCAACTGCAGCAGCAAAGGAATGAGCTAGAAAAAGAGAGAGAGTATGTGAGAGACACGGGAGATTCCGTGGGGGCACCCTCTCAGGCTGACACCAAGCTCCACCAGAACTCCAGGTTTAAACAGAAGAGCGCTGTTACAGACCAAAGAGGTGGTCAGGGCTGGATTTGATACAATTCTTGAGGGTTTGTTACTTTTGTCTGGGTTGGCTAGGGAGCCCCTCCTGACTATGTCCAAGGACTGGCTTATGTAAGGGGCTGAAACACAGAGGCTGGGAAAGGAAAAGTTCTTGGCTGAGAGGGAAGACACGTCCATGGGGACTCTGAAGTTTCAGGTCAGATGCCAGATAACATGCTAGAGCTGTGCCACCGCCAAAGGCTGAGGAGGCCAAGAGCAGCGGAGTGACAAGACCCAAGGCAGGCTGAAAGCACTTCGGCTCTGAGGGTTGTCATGGCCAAGAGCTTCCTCATCAGGGGTCACCTGGGGGGAGGTCACCCAGAGCTGGGGTTTCTCAAGCAGGGGCTACCGCAAGGGCTACCCCAGTGGGGATTTCCTGAGAGCAGTTCTTTCAAGAGCCAAGAGCTGGGGCCATTCCAGGGCTTCCTACAGCCTCTCCTGGTGGAAGAACTTGCTGGTAGATGAACAGGTAGACATGCTTTATGTTCTGGACACCTTTCCAGACCTTGCTGTGTACCTCATACTGGCTGAACCCTGGTGCCACTGGTGTTCACCCTACACTGCACCTCAAATTGTACCAGAATTCTATGTAGTCACCCTAACAAATCACATAACCATGACCATAGAATGTGAGCCCTTGGTGACGTGCAGTGAATTAACAAAACCAGAGTGCCCTGAGGGGGAGGTGGGTCAGAGATAATGTAAGGTGGGAGCCTACTTTAAGCTGATTCTTATCAGTGGACATTATGAGACAGACCACAGAGGCACTCTCAAATTACGTTTACAGGTACCATCATGCATTGCCTTTAAGGTACTTTCCAAACACAAAATTCAGTCATTTCTGGACACAGCCAAGTGTTGTTCATCAACAGATGAAGGAAACACATAACATCATGGACTAGCACTCAACAATGAAAAGAAAAAAAGCTGAATACCTGGTATATCATGATGAAGCCTGAAAACATTATGCTCAGTGAAAGAATCCAGACACAAAATGACAGATATTGGATTGGTTTCACTCAAAAGAAACACCTAGAATAAACATGTGGATACAGAAAGCAGACCGGAGAATACCAGGTTGGGGGCAGGGAGCTATAGAATAATGGGCACAGAGTTTCTGTTTGGGGTCACGAAAATGCATAGTGATGACGGAAGTACCACACTGTGAACGTGATTAGCGCTACTGGAATGCAGACTTCAAAATGGTTCACATGGTACATTTTCTCTTCTCTGGATTGGGCCACAATCATTTTGTGCCATTCTTCAGCTGTGTGGAATCACTCTCCCTGTGCCATCCTGCATCCCCACAGGGTCTCTGCCTCTCCTACCTTATCATGGTTGTAACCGGCCAACAGGACGAGCAGCGTCAGGGGCAGGGCGATGTAGGATCCTTGGGCAATGTCTTGCTCAGGCAGTTTCCTCTGCAAACCCCAAGAATGCTGTTAATGCCCACTGACTTCTCACCAGTGTCAGCACCTGCTGTGACACAGTCCTGACCCACCAGGCTTCCAGACTGGTTACCCAGGGACATGCCTGTAAGGCAGGCAGTCCAAACTCTCACTCCCCCAAATGAGACACGGAAACAATGTAGCGAGGTTTTCCAATGAATCATCTGCTGTTCAACCTGAGACTCAGGAAGAAATACATTCCCGTGACAAGGTATTCCTCACTCTGAATATGTCTGAGGAAAGGAAGAGCCTCACAGCTCTGGTTGAAAAGTTAGATGGGTCTCTGATATATTCAGGGATGGTTTTGCACAGCATGTCTGAAGGACCCACTATTCTAGACACTGGGCAGGTGGGGAGGAGAAAGACACTGAGTGAGCAAGTGCAGCAGACAGAGATGGTAACTTATGGCCCCGTAGTCATTCTCCCTTTCTTCCACTACAACACCCAGGTTTTCCCTGAGCTGCACAGAAAAACAGGCCACACTTCCCAGCTTCCCTAGTGTGTGGACCCATGGCACTAAATCCCCGCCCGTAGTCCATGGACAGAAATACCTATGAGAAATGGTGAGCCCTGCCTTCCTGCTAGCAGGACAGCACTGGGCCATGTGAGGCATGCTGGGACGAGCAGTCTGCTAGAAAACATCTGAAAATGGCAAAAACATGACTATAAAAACCAACTTGACCCTCAAGGGTTCCTTTTCATAAAAGGAAGAAAGACAGCAGGGGCAAGTGTCCATTGCTGACTCCTGTATTTTTCTGACACATCTTAGAGCTTAACTCCTTTTCCACGAAAACCAATACCTAGTTAAAAGTTTTTCACATCCACTTGGGTGGCTCCTATTAGAACAGAAAATGGCAAGTGTTGGCCAGAATGTAGAGAAATTGGGATTCTCGTGGACTGTTGGCGAGACCGCAAAATGGTGCTGCCTCTGTGGAAAACAGTTTGGCAGTTTCTCAAAAACGTAAAACATAAAATGACGATTGTTGTTAAGTGCCATTGAGTCAGTTCAGACTCACAGCAACCCTATACAGGCTTGCTGAGGAGCAGCTGGTAGGTTAGAACCACTGATATTGCGATTCAATCGACCTTTAGGTCCAATGCTTATCCTACAGCACCACACCAGGACCCAAAATCACCATATGATCCAGGAATTAACTCCTACGTGTATCCCCAAGATTCAAAAGCAGGGACTCAAACGTACACCAACGCTCACTGCAACGCAACTCCTGATAGTCAAAGTCTGGCAACAACCCAACCATCCAAACCGGAGACAAGAATGAATGAAGAAAGGGTGGTCTATCCGTACAGTGAAACAGTATTACTCTGCCAGAAGAGAACTGGAATTCTGAAACATGCCACGACATGGGTGAACCTGAGGGTGACACATGACACTGAAATACGGCAGACAAAAAGGTCAAAAGGCACGATCCCACCCTCACGGCATGGTTAGAATAACAAACGCCTGGTGGTGGTTACCAGGGACTAGGGAATTCCATGGTGGTGCAAATGGTTAAGTGCTTGACTACTAATGAAAGGTTGGCAGTTTGAATCCACCCATAGGCATCATAAGGAAGAAAGATTTAGCGATCTACTTCTCAAAGGTCAGCCATGAAAACTCTATGCAGTGCTCTTCTACTGAAACACACAGGGTCACCAGGAGTCATAATCAACTCAAAAGCCATGGGTTTGGGTTTCGGTGCGGGGCTAGGGAGAGGCGCACCTGGGAGGTTATTATTTAAAGGGTACTGAGTTTCTAGGGAAATGAACAGTGTTTGGAAGCGGATATAGTGATAGCTATGGAACACAGAGACTATAACTAGTATGACTGAAGAAGGAGCTCTGGTAGCTTAGTAGTTACGAATCAAGCTGTGAACCCTAAGGTCAGCAGTTCGAAACTACCAGCTGTTTGTGGGGCTTTCTGCTCCCATGAAGATTCACTATCTTGGAAACCCTGTACAGGGTCGCTATGAATTGGAACTGACTCCACAGCACATAACCAACTGAATTGTTGTTGTTGTTGTTGTGACGTGCTGTCGAGTCAGTTCTGACCCATAGCGACCCTGTATAGGGTTTCCAAGGAGCAGCTGGTGAACTTGAACCACCAACCTTGCAGTTTAAATGGCTTTGTAGTCTGGTGCATTAACCCACAGTGCCATACCAGGACTCCAACCAGCTGAATTAGTACTTTAAAAAAAACGGTGACATGGCAAACGTTTTGTTACATAAATTTTGTAGCTATTGTTTGCTGCCACTGAGTTGGCTCTGACTCATAGTGACTTGATGTGGCCCGAAAGCAGTCTCATAACTGTTACCGTTTGAGCCCATTATTGCAGCCACTGCGCCAAGCCTCTTCTTCACAGCATTTCATTAAGTAGGAAATAGACCAGTTCTAATCTGCTCCATAGACTTGCTATGAGCTGGACAGGAATGCGTTGTGACAGGCACTCACCTGCTAGCCAAAAGATGGTGGTTGTTGTAAGCCATCAAGTCGGTTCCGACTTCTAGCAACGCTGTAAAGGGTTTCCAAGGCTGTAAATCTTGGCAGGAGCAGGAAGCTGCATCTTTCTCCCACAGAGTGGCTCAAAACAGCTGGCCCTGTGGTTTGTAGTAGCCCAGCACTTACAGAGTCATGCAAAGGTGGGTGGTTCAAACCCATCAGCCGCTCTGAAGGAGAATGATGCAGCAGCCTGCTTCTGTGAAGGCTGTTGTTGTTTGTTGGCAAGTGCTGACGCACAGAGACCCTGTATCGGGTTTCCAAGGAGAAACTGATGGGTTGAACTGTCAATCTTACCATTAGTGGTCCAATGCTTACCCTACAGCACCACACCAGGACTTAGAAACCCTGTGGGACAAGTCTACTCTCTGCCATAGGTTAACAATCTAATGCTTATCTTACAACGCCAACCAGGACTTAGAAACCCTGTGGGGCAGGTCTCCTCTGTCCTACAGCTATGAATTGGAATTGACCTTGGGCTGGGTGCATCTCTCTCTGGGCCGTAATCTTTTCATCTCTCAATTAGAGATTACTCCTGTCAACCTCCTCTGCAGAATGGTTTTCAAAAAGCACTAAATAGTATGGCATGTTACCCATTGCAGCACGTCCCAACAGGACAGAGGAGATGTGCCCATGGGGTTTCCAAGGCTGTCCTCTTTATGGAAGCTGAGCGCCACATCTTTCTACCAAAGAGCAGCTGGTGGGTTCAAAATGCCGACTTTTTGTTTAGCAGCTGAGTGCTTTAAACACTGTGCCAAATGTGAGACCATCTTTCATACCTTCTATCAGGAACAATTCCAAATGAACAGAGATATAAGTGTCAAAATGAAATCAAACAGTACACCAAAAGGAAACACAACAGAATTCCTCCCAAAAGTAAAAAATGAGAAAATCTTCCTAACTCTAACTCAGAATTTAGAAGCAATAAGAAAAAGATCAATGTGTTTAAAATAAAAATAGAATGAAATAAATGTTTGCCTCAGCAACGCAACAAGGTAAGTTATAAACTGAAAAATATATGTACAATTTATACTACAAAGAGTTAATATTCCTACTATACAAAGGCCTTCTAAAATAGAGATGAAAAAGGCCCACCGTACCATGGAAGAATGGATTATAGATAGAAACAGACAGCTTACAGCGAAGGAAATACAAAAGGCTCTTAACTATCTGAAAAGATAAGAGAAATGCAAATTAAAAGCACACAGAGAGATACCACTTCTTATCTATTAGAATGTAGAAGTTCAAAAATTTGACAACATACTCTGTTGGCAAAGCTGAAGGGAAGACGGTACTCCCCTACACTGCTGGGAGGAAGGCAAAATCAGACCATCCTAGGGAGGGCAGTCCTGGGGTGGTGCTGTAGGTTAAACACTGGACCGATAACAGAAAGGTCAGCAGTTCAAACCTACCAGTCACTTCCTGGAAACCCTATACAGAGTCACTATGAGTCAGAACTGACTCAAGGGCACTTAACAACAACAACATGGAGGGGAATTAGGCAATACTGAGCAATGTCCTTTGATTCCAGCAAACATAAACTGGAAAAAATTCAAAACCATGTATGCATAAGTCCATTCTTTTATTAAAGGTCTATTTATAATAGCAAAATGCTAACAACCTCCATGTATCAAGGGCTAATTTAATGTAATACAGTTATTATCCACACAACAGAATACTACGCAGCTATGAAAACAAATAAGGACTATCCATGAACGAGCTGTGGGTTAGGTGTTGGGCTGCTATCCCCAAGGTCAGCGGTTCAAACCCACCAGCTGCTCTTAGAAACCCTATACAGTGTTGCTGTGAGTCAGAACCATCTCAATGGCACACAACAACAACAAGAAACACACACACATATATAAGGCACCCTGGTGACACTGTTAACAGCAAGGTAAGCGGTTCAAACCCACCAGCCTTGCCGTTGGAGAAGGATGAAACTGTCTCAGAAACCTGACATAGAATCACTATGTGCTGGAACCAAATGGCTGTAGGTTTGTTTTTGTGATGTGTGTATGTGTGTGTGTGTATACTGTTCCACACCAGTTATCATTAATAAATAAAATTCTTATTCTCCCCACAGAAAACACCTACAAACAGTGACCATAGCAGTAGCTACAAGATCTCCTCCCACAGGTTCAGAATCAGTAGATCTGAGGAAGCACCTGGAATCGTGTTTTTGTTGTTGCTGATGTGTGTGCTCAGTTCTCAAGTGATGCTACTGCACATTAGCTTCGGGAGCCACGGACCTACTCCAGGACCTCCTGGATGTGAAAGGTGTGTGTGTGTTTTGTTTTGCTATTTCCTGTTGCTGGTTATAGTCTGTTTTCTTGACAAACATTCCAATAAGGTTGATAAAATTGAGTAACTGCCTCTTAGTCTCCAGGTATCCCTGCTATCTATTTTTCCCCTCTCTTGCAATTTCTTCGTAGAAAAACCTAGGTCCCAGGTTCCTTGTGGTGCAGAGTGTCCCACAACCTGAGCTGGGGGCTTGGATCAGGTCAGTACACTGTGCCTCCGAGTAGAAGAACCCGGCCCCACAGCGGTGAAGGAGTTATGACCCCTCCACAAATCTTCCCTGAGCCTCTGACTAGAACAATCCCACCCTTCAAGGGCCCCTTCCTTCCTCACAGAGGATTGAAGACATCATTGTTTCAATGGAAGCAGAAAAGCATCCAGGGAAATCCAGACATGAGAGCGCCCCCTGCCAACAGACTTAGACAGCATCCTCTGACTAAGCCCCCAAGCCCCAGGCCCAGTATGCCTGGCCTCTCCTGATCTCAGCAGCCCACCCATTTCTGAACGCCCTCTCACTTACCGTGGGATTAAAGATCAGGGTGACGTGTTTATGGTAGCCAACAGCAGTGAAGGAGACTTGAGGTAAGACATAGTCGTACTGGGATCTGGGGAGTGTGGAGTCCAGGAGCACAACATAGTTCTGTACACAGGAAAAAGAAAAGTGCTTTCAGAAAGGCCAGGTGTGGCAACAAAATGAACGCGTCAATCTAACATACGGCACAACGTGCAGCAGGTGAGGATTTTAAAATGATCCCCACGTGCACACAGCAACACTGAGGCTGCCAACTTCAGCCATCACCTCGAGAGCTCACGCTATCCGTGATGGCAATGTGGAGCTAAGTGCCTGAGACTGCTGTCTGACCAGGCCTCAGGGCCTGTGGCACTTAGGAACAGAGTCAACCATGACAACTACAGGCCTTAGAGGACCTGATTTCATGAAACACAGAATTAATGGGAGCCAATTATGATGACCTGAGAAGGGTGTTCCAAGTGAGCAAGACAGCATTCCACCCAAAATGTGGGTGACTTTTAAGGGACAATACTTAACATCATTCATAAACTGGCACATTTGGAAAATGAGGCATCTCTAGATGATACCAGTGTGTGGAGCCCCCACCATGTGCCTGGACACCATGCACTGCCTGCCTTCCTCCCATTTTACAGATGGGAAGAGTGATGCATGAAGAAGTGTAATTGGCCCAGGGTTACTTCAGTTAGTAAGGTGGCTGAGCAGGGACTGACCAGATGGCATCTGACCCTGGAGGCCACAGCACTCTGGTGCTTCTATAGGTCACCCCCTAATTCTACTTTGACCTGTTTCATCATTCTACAGTACCCCATGGCAGGGGAGTCCTACATTATGAACGACTATGCAGCCATGGAAAGTCACGTGATAAAAGCTTTACGACGGGGGGAACGATTTGTGATCGGTTCTTCATTGAAAAGCACGGATTACACAGCAGTGTCCAGAATGGCCCAGTTCTGACTGACACAGATGGATGGACAGTAGCCCTATGTGACCGAGCAGGACTGTCCTGGAGGATCTTCAAGGCTGTTGTCTTTATAGCCGATCTCCGGGTCTTTCTTCTGCAGAGCCAATGGGTGGGTCCATACCAGCAACCTGTCAGTTAGCAGCTGGGTGCTTAGTCATTGTGCCACCAGGGCTCCTTGACAGGAGGACAGCATTTGTGTGTGTGTGTGTGTGTGTGTGTGTGTGTGTGTGTGTGCTCTCTCTCTCTCACATGTGTGTACATGCTCACTGAGAAAACACAGGATTCCTATTAACAGTGTTAACAGAGGGCATGATTTCTAGATGTTAGGGTCATGGCTGGTTTTTGTTTGTTTTTTCCTCACACTTCCTCCTATGAATATTTATCATTTTTAAACTAGAATCACAGCGAATTAAGAAAAACGAGTTTCCCACCACATCTGATGCACTGAATCTGATATCAAGCGTTGCTGGAGAATGGTGTCAGGGAGACCAGCAGGAAGTAGGCTTCCCTAAACTCCAGAGTGGAATGATCACAGCAAAAACCGCAGCCAGCTTCGTGCCACAGGCATTACCTCACTGTCTCTGAGGAGCGGGGGGAAGTGGAAGAAGAGGGACTGGCCCAGTGACACCGTCTGGATCGGGTTGTCAAGGTTCTCGCTTTTGTAAAGCTTCACCTGTTGAGCAGAAACACAAGGCACGCTCGTGAAACCGAAACAGGATAAATGTTTCATTTCCAATGTAGTAGGGCAGCTGATCTCTGGGGAACAAGCTTTGAAAACATGGCTATTTGAAAGAGAGACCGCACTCCCCTGAAAGGCTACAGATAATACACTGCGCAATCACCTAAGACTCTGATGATGCTGTGCATCGAAATGCAAAGTTTTACAATAGACTCTAACCTCTGTTATCACACAAAAGAATAATAATAGTTATTACAGGCACAACGTGAAAAAGAATAACTGCTAACGTTTGCTGAGCATCTATAAGATGCTACGCATGCAATAAGCACTGTGAATGTACTGTCACCAATCCTGAGTGCAGAGCAGGTGGCATCACCATTATTATCATTAAGAAACTGGCAGAGCCTGGGACTAAACCCACACAACTGAGGGGCTTGCCCACCTTGTATTGCTGCTGCATATGAGATGGAATCTTAATTCCACAAGGATTTGTTAAAACCTATTCCCGTCTTGCACATGGTTCTCTAGACTGCTTCAGGAAGCAGTTCAGTGCTTTGTTCTTGGCTTTTGTTTTCCTGGGGTATGGTCCATTGTTGCTCTTACACCATATGCAATGAGGCATGTGGAAGAGTAAGGGACAGTCCACGCTACAGTAAAAGTTGTGTGGCACCAGCCTGTACCTATAACAAAGGAATGCCAGGCCTAAGGGCCAAGTCGACGCATCTCTGTATTTTATGGCACAGAAGACACATGTTTTCCTAAAACAACATCACACGGGCCATACATCCTAGACTCCCAATGTTTTCTTCTGCCTGTGCTTTAAGTAAATCTGAATTCATTGTCTTTATTTAAAAACCAGGGGATTTCAAGAATTCTAATTTCCAGGTTCTCTGGGACCAACCCTGAACCGGAAACCTAATATGACAGTAATCAGACAGTGCTGTTTATGGCAGCCTCCCACTCCCTCAACTGCCCCCACCTGTGAACAGGGAACACTTCTTCAGTTGCCTCCCAAGCCCATCCAGCTCTCTCCCCTCTCTGACATTAGCTCCTAGACCCCACAAGTGCACAGATCTGCAACCACGTGACTAAAGGGCAGTTAGCAGGCTAGTCCAACCTAAGCCCACACTCTCACTCAAGCCCAATACTTAGCTATGGATAAAAGTGAATGTGACTGAAGGTACCACTGTTGATCTCTCCCTGGCTGGAGTCAAGGAGAGTAAAGGAAATCAAAGGCTCATGGAAGCAATGAGTCTAAAGGACTATGTGAACCTCGGCCTCTACCACCCTGAGACCAGAAGAACTGGACGGTGCCTGGCCACCACTGCAGCCCTTCCATTGACACAGCGGCGACCCTATAGGACACAGCAGATCTGCCCCACAGAGTGCTCCAAGTTCTAAAGCTTCACAGAAGCAGGCTGTCTCCTTGTTCTCCTCAAGATCAGTTGATGGGTTTGAACAGCCAACCTTGCAGTTAGTAGCCTAGCACTTAACACACAGCACCACCAGGATGCCTCGGAAGATATGGCGCTTAGATGCCCTAAATCAAATCATTAACTAATTGGGTAATTAATCAATTAAATGGACTGTATCTCTTAGTAGTACACCCCCATGGCACCTTGAACACTTTTCATGGAATTGCAAGGCATATTGTGTTTCTTCATTAACTACAGACAGACTTTGTTACAGGCAGAGAGACCAAAGAGGTCATTTACTCTAACTCCTTCATTTGAAAGAGAAGGAAACTCAGGCACAGGGACAGGAAGAGGTTGCCTGAGGCGACAAAATGGGCAGCTGCCAGTGACAGGAGGGGAGCCCACCTGCCTGGCTTCCAGTGCCCACTTCCTTCACCCCTGACAGACTGAACAACTTCAGGGGTATTTTGTCTTAAAACTGCCTTTCCATGTAGTCTCCAGATTGCACTGAGCAGCCTTCAGACTTCTGCTTCCCTCCCTCTAACAGTCCTCGGAATCTAGAACACATTTCTCTCCACTGATTAGAAGCCACCTCCCCAAACACATGCTGCGATTTCACAATCTCAACCCCACCCAGGGCCCCGCCACCTTTAGTACTTCAAGCAATAGGCACAAAGAGCCTACTTGTTTGAATGCCAAAAGAGAACATCATCTTTTCATTTTAAAAAGCTGGTCTCTTGCTTACCCACAATGTTGGAAGATACTCAGAGGATGTGACCACATTTCCACTTAAATCAAATTGATTAATCTGCCGGAAAACGATGATGTTTACGTCATCAATGTCATTATTCCCGACCTAGAAAGAGAAGACACTGGTCAGGATAAAGCTGGAGGATGGTCTGAGAGATACTTTGAGGGCACTCTTCACTTCTTGCACAAAGGGAGAAGTGTGCCACAAAAGCAGCCGAAGTTCAAGGTCACAACCTGTCAGCAGGTGGACTATCCCTGGTCTACAAGCACATTTTGTACGAGGTACAAACACAGTATTTTTTTGGTAACTGTTTATTTCTTACAACTTTTTTAAAAAACAGGAAATTTCGTGTTCCAAAACAAATTCTCTGACTTCTCTTAAGAAAGTATGAGGAAGTCGACATTCTTGGCGGGCAACAATCAGTGGTCAAGGTCCAGCTGCCCCTCACGGCGAGGCTTATGCTGTCCAGTTTGGGAGACTCCAGGCAGCCACTTCTGTCCTTCCTACCTGCCTGGCTGCAGTCCACATTACTGCTTGTGGTCTTGGCCTGAGTCAGTCACTCCAGCAGGGAAATAGACAAGCTAGAATGCATTTTCATGTCAGATGCAGCCCTTGAAAATGCTGGATTATAGAGATATCAGAAAACCATTTCCTAGCTCCAAAAGTGACCTATCACGCTCCACCCTGTCATCAGCTGGCATTGTGTCAATTCCAACTCATGGTGACCCCATGTGTGCTAAGTAGAACTGCTCCAGAGGGTTCTTTAGGAAGGAGATCGCCAGGCCTGTCTTCTAACGTGCCTCTAGGTGAGTTTGAACTACCAACCTTTTGACTAGTAGTCAAACACTTAACCATTTGACCCACCCAGGGAGCCTCCTCTCCACCATAATTCCTCCCAATCTTCACGCTTTTTCTTGTGTGCTATGAAATCAATTCCAACTTATAACGACCCTATAAGACATAGTAAAACTGCCCGTAGGGTTTCCAAGGCTGTCAGTCTGACGCCAGCAGACTGAAAGGTTTCTTCTCCTGAGAGTGGCTCGTAGGTTTGAACCGCTGACCTTTCAGTTAGCAGCTGAACTTGAACCACTGTACCACCAGGGCTCCTTTCTTCATGCTTAATGTTCATCTTATAAAGCCACCAAGAGTCGATCTGTCTCTTCCCGCCCAAGCCCTCTAGTCCAACAAAGAGGCAAGCCTTCCTTCATATGGATCTGGCAACTTCCTGGGGAAGGGAGTCATGGAGGTAAGTCATGACCGTGAATATCAGAGCAGTTTGGCCCACTGAATGGAAGAAATGGCCGCATCCGAACACAAGACTACATGGTCCTGCTCCCAATAAAGCCCACTTTCTCTTTATCAGCCTCCCCTGATTGGAGCTGCTCCTTGTACCTGTAGACCTTGAGCTTGCAGAATAATGATCTAGCTGAGGAAGAGTGGTGGGGACAAGAGTTCAGGTTTCTATTCTGAATGCATGACAGTAATTCTGTTCATGAAAAACCACATCAAATGGTGCTTGCGAAGATGACATTATTCTAAGACGACCCTGAATAGGGACTTTAAGTACCCCCCACCCCCAAAACAGTCCCCCATTCTCAAAACAGTGCTCAAGCATTTCTGGTCAGGGAAGCAGAAGAGTTTCTGCCTTACCTCTATCACCCGATGGTGGGGGAGGGCCCGTTCAATGTGACCATTGCCTTCTGCCTTCAGCTGAACGTGGTACACACACCCAGGCTGCAAAAGAATCCAATAGTCAGGTCTCTAGAAAGAGGTTGTTAGAGAAAGCCCGGCCTGACCCAGCTGACTCTAGGTGCCCACACAGGGGCACAAGAGCCAAAGGGAGAACCAAAACCAAGAAGAGCAAGCAAAGCATGATGGCGTGCTCACACAATGGAACATTCAACAGTCGACAGGGAACGCAGTGCCAAGACAGCGACAACACGGTATCAGCACTGAGTGAAACCGACCCCACACAAAAGGGCAAACCCTGGAGGATCCCAATGAGGTGCCCTTTTAGAACTGGGGAATTGCAATCCATCCTTACAAAGAGCTTGGGGAGGGGAGATTGGGGTGTTAATGTTTAGGGGCACCGAATGGCTATTTGGGTTGATAATTTGGAAATAGTGGTAATGTCACCAAATAGTGCACTTCAAAATGGTTAAAACAGTAAATTTTTTGTTCTGTGAGATGACTTTAAAAAAGTTCACGTAGAATCTTAATTAAAAGATCGTGGAATTTTTCCAAAGGAAAGAACCACATGACCATATTGATTGATGCAGAAAAGGCATGTGACAAAATCCAACATCCATTCCTGATAAGAACACTCAACAAAATAGGAATTCAAGGGAAATTCCTCAACATAATCAAGAGCATATATATAAAACCAACAGCCTACATTACTCTCAATGAAGAGAAACTGAAAGCCTTTCTTCTACGAACAGGAACCAGACAAGGATGCCCTTTGTCACCACTCCTGTTCAACATTGTGCTCGAAGTCTTAGCAAGAGCTATATGGCAAGAAAGGGAAATTAAAGGCATCCAAATTGGCAAAAAGGAAGTAAAACTCTATTTGCAGACGATATGATCGTATATGTAGAAAACGCCAAAGACTCAGTAAAAAAGCTACTAGATCTCATTGGAAGATTCAGAAAAGTGGCAGGATACAAGATCAACATACAAAAATCAATTGGATTTCTCTATACCAAAAATGACAGCATTGAAAAGGACATTAGGAAAG